GCCTTATGTCACAAACCGTCCCGCCACAGTGGGCTGGGGACCTGCCCGTTGGCCGTTGGAACCACTGTGTATCACCTTACGTGCCCCGGATCACTGCGGATGCTTCCAGTGTTCTTGTGTGAAGGAATCCTTCTCTGCAACTTACACCACAATAGAATGGAAGCTAAATCTGCTATCAAGGAGTTTATTAACTGCTCCCCTTTATCAATTAACTGACTCATAGGAGGTAAAATTCACAACCCCCAACTGATAGGCTGTTCAGGCAGTTTGTTTGACTTATTGATTTGGGTGGGTTAAAAAAAAAAAAATCACAAGCTGGTTATCATCTTGTTACCTTTGGCCTGCCTGTTGCCTGTTTCTTTTTTACTAACTTAGATTCCACAACCTAACTTGGTTAAAAATTGATTTCCTAGGTTTTCCCAAAAATCTTCCCTGGACTGGCGACATGATCACCTTTCTCTAGATGCACCATGCATAGTACTTTGCTTCAGCAGGGTTAAGGAGGCGAGGAACTCACAGGGCAGGTATTCAAAACACACCGCTTAATGGTGCCGAGGAGGGAAATTGAGTTAACTTTCAGGGTGCAAAAAAGATAGTGAAAGTCACTGAGCACGTTCTGATTCCATATACCCTGGACCTAACCACAGAGGATGTACGCAGAAATAATGTAGCTACAGGTGTGTGTGTGTGTGTGTGCGCGTGTGTACTGCGCCTGTGTAGACACACTCACACACCCACCATGCCTTACGTCCACCTTTCAGCCTCCCTTGGTTCTACTCTTACTTTCTGTCCATTCCTATTATTAATCTCTTCTTCCTCCCACGCAGATGGGATGAGCTGGTCTTCGGAACGTACTGAGACCCGAGCCCGGCGCCGGGTAGGCGTTGTGCGCGTTCGCGAGCCTAGTACTGCTTCCCACCCGCCACCGTCTCCCCAGCGCCATCCACCCGCTTCAGCTCTGCCAAGTCCTTAGCTTCAGCCCTGCTCTCTCCGGCTTCTAGTCACTTAGGAGGCACCAGGCTGCTGTCCCTCTGACTTCGCACATGAAACGCCTAATCAAGCCCCATCCCCCACTCCAGCAACCAACTTGGGCTTGCCACTTCCCTATTGTTCTGGACCTTCTGTGCTCAAGACTTGCAGAATGTTACCAGGGAAACCTAGGCTCCAGCTCCTTCAGAAGATGAGAGTTGCCTCAATTCTGCTGGCTCCCACACCCCCGGTTCTGTGCCCAGCCGCTCCCAAGGGCTAGGGATAGCCCAGCCACAGTCACTCCTGGGCCAAGTACTAGGAATGGGCTATCCCAAGCTGCAACCCCTTGGAAAGGGTCATTGCCTGGACACAGAGACACTTGCCCAGGCCCCGGCCCAGGCTCTCTACAGTCTTTGCAGATGGCTGAATCAGGAGGAGGGGCTGTTCACCAGATGTGTGGTAGGTTCAGGCAGGAGGCCAGGGGATCAGCTTCAGAGCCATGAGTTCAGATCCTGCTCGACCACCAATAATTCCTACCTCTCCCCATTATAAAGAGCAAAGTAACACCTTATGAAAGGTGCCAGCAGAGTATCTGCCCTTAACAGGTATCACTTCTCTTTCCCTCTCTCTCCCTTGCTTCTCAGGTCCTGTAGATCCTCTCTCCTTGTCTGAAGACACCACCCTAACTTCATTCCTGAGCGCTGTTCTGGCCATAGTGCAAACCGCCAGACATGGGCACTGGGTGCGACTGCACCATCTTGGCCCTGTGTCCTCATCTTACAGACAAACAGGTTCCAAGAGCAGCAGCTAAAAACCGTTTGTTGTCCATGCCTCTCTTATGCAATTCCTACTACCTTAGGGGAAGGCCTTGGCCCCAAATTTGCTTGTGAATTCTTCCAGGATGTCTCAAACCCTGCCCCACCCCAGATCCCCCAGGACCCTGCACATACGTGGCTGGCATTCAAGAGAAGTTTGAGAACAGTGATGCTACTGCGTTAAGGTACTGAGTGGGTCAAGGTCGGTGGGATGCTCTTAAGAAAACTTAATAAATCCGGGGCGCCTGGGTGGCTCAGTTGGTTAAGCGACTGCCTTCGGCTCAGGTCATGATCCTGGAATCCCAGGATCGAGCCCCGCATCGGGCTCCCTGCTCAGCAGGCAGGACTGCTTCTCCCTCTGACCCCCTTCCCTCTCGTGCTCTCTGTCTCTCATTCTCTCTTTCTCAAATAAATAAATAAATCTTTAAAAAAAAAAAAAGAAAACTTAATAAATCCAACATGGGAGAAAACGGTGTCAAGAAAGTCTCAGACGGGTGGTACAGTATACCGGAAGATCTGGTTGAGGAACAGGAGATCCCAGAACCAGGCTGCCTGGGTTCAAATCCCAGCTCGTCTACTTAAAAGGTGGTGACTTCCAGCAAATCACTCAATCTCCTGGGCCTCAGTGTCCTCACCTATAAAATGGAGAAAACAGTGCCTATCTCATGGCGCATAAAACCATGACATAATGAAATGATATAGTGATTTAAGGCACCCAGAATAGTACTTAGCACATGTGTGCCCAGTGAATACTAACCCCAGAATGATGAAAGCAGAGGGACAGACTGGTTTAGAAGGTTATGTGGAAGCAGCCTCTGGGAGTTAGAGGGACTTGTAGGGTACGGTAGCAAAAGGCTAGGGACAGCTCGTGTCATGGTGGCTGAAGTCAAGCGAGGGCAAGTTGTACACATTTAGGAGACAGATACGGGCCCCCTGGGAGGAAGGGACAGTGGTGGTGCCAAGAATTAGCCATATCATTTTTTGAACATGTAAGTTATCTCAGACATCCAGATCTTCGTTTAATCCTCTCAACTACCCTGGAAGTAGTATTGTTTTATTAACGAGAAGGAGAAAGCACAGAGCAGTGACTTGCTCGTTATGACACAGCTGATGAGTCGCAGAGCTGAGTCAAACCCAGTCACTGAGTACCAGCTTTCTCCTGCAGCCCCAGCGTGGGTGAGTGGTGGGCAGGCCAGGGGGGAAGAGGTGCTAAGCAGGACAGGACCTAAGGGGGCTGGCTGGCAGACCTGTGTGCTGGACCAAGGAGGAAGGGACTCAAGAGTTCCACGCCTGGGGAGGATGGGCCTGAGGACAGGAAACCTTCAGTTAACCTAACCCCTCCAGGTTCTAGCCAAGCCATTTACAACTACCAAATGCATGGCTGTGAAACTGTTTTTCCTTTCCTAGCCCAGAGCTCGACACTGGGTCAGCGGCGAGAGGGGAAACAGGACGGCTTTGCCTGTGCCCTCCCCACTCTTCACACACAAAAATGCAGATAAGAATTCCCTCCACCCCCCCTCCACACCACGGCGAGTCACTGGGCCTCTGCCCTCCAGCCTAGAAAACATTTCTGGAATATGTTCTTATTTCACAAAGGGAATGGAAGCCCATCCCCAGCAGGTTTCAAAAACCTGGACTTAATCTGCTGATCTCGTGGAACATCAACCCGGAAACAATGAAGGACGACGGCAGCCCTACCGATATTCCATGCTGAGCAAAGCTGGCTCCAACCATTTGCCCAGGTGCCCCCGAGGACACTCTCCGTTATGAAGATATCCCCTGTGTGTTTTTCTTTTCCCCACTTTCCACCAAAAAGCCAAACCACTCTCCAAAACAAAAACCAAATTTATTCAGCAGACATTTTAATTAAGAAATCCTATAAATCAGGACCACCACAATTTCTGACACTCCGGTGCGAAGTGTACGTCAATAGCTACATCTGGAGGATGAACAAGCCATTGAATCTGTTTTTTAAAACTGGTTTAGCTACCTTAATTTTGGGGGTGGCACTTCACTTAAAGTGCCGTCAAGTTTCACAAGGGTAAAGCCAGTGGGTTCTCCTCTCGGAGAGTCACATTTTAAACACGGTTTCAGTCACTCACAAGAAGAGCTGGCGACAGGAGGAAACTGTGAGGGATGAGGGCCCACAGAGGCTCAGGCCCGCGGCTCCACAAACGGCCAGAACAGAGCAGAACCGCCAGGGTCTCATCTATCCCGGGCAAACACCAGGAAGAGTGGAATGAGAAGGTCTGGCTGAGAGGACACGGGAGACTTGATGACTTTCTGAGAAAGCTCACGGCATGGCCAAGCGTGGCCCCGAGAGGGGAGGAGGAGGAGTTCTGGGAAGAGGAAAGCACAGAAAAAAAAAAAACAAAATCACTCTCCCCATTTGTCCCTCTCTGCCTGTGTGTGTCCTCAGCGGACTCCAAGAGGTAGCAAAGCACAGACTGCGCTCTTCTTGGAGCAAGAGAAAGAAAAGACATAAGGGTGAATCTAGCTGTCCCAGGAACCCCACAGCCTTTTGCACAGCACACTGTGACCTTCACCCACAGGTGGCAAGGTCAAGTCAGTTCCAAGTCCACATTCAACTCCAACTCTACCCCCCTTCAAAATTCTCCACCTCCCTCTAACCCACTAAACAGGAGCTCCATCTCCCACAGCCACCAAACACCAATTAGGTGGGAAGAAGGGGGTGATGGCAACCCACCCACCAGCAAGCTTTTACATTCTTCTTCCCTCCGGAATTTCTTTGCACAGCCAATGTAGCACCATTTTCACTAAGCTCTTCCACCGGAAAATAAAGAAAATGTATGCGTATCTTTAGTTTTCAAGTATTGTTATAAAGCCCTGGCGATACCCGCCCCTTGGAGCCCAATCTTTAAACAATCGAAGCACACGACGCCCCCAAGGGTTAAGTCAGGTACAAGTCGATGCAAGTAGCTGCCACAGTTCTCGCAGTTTATCCCAGGTCCTTGGCCCCGAGGTGGCCGGGGAAACTCTCACGCGGCACGTCTGCGCCCTGGCCCGTGCATTTCTCCACGCTCTTGTTCTCCGACAGCCTCGCTGGGGCCGGTAACTTCTCGCCTCGAGGTCTCTTCCCGCAGCCTGGGCGGTCGCTCCCAAGACGGCGACGGCGGCTTCAGCTCCGGGTTGGGGAGGGCAGGACGCTGTTGGGTCTGCGCAGCGGCGTCCTCTTCCTCCTCCTGGGGCCCCGGGTCAGTGCAAGGCGCCGGAGGGCTGCAGGGCGACAGGGTCCGGTCCGCTGCAGCCGCCTCCGGGCCCAGAGGCGCCCGCGGGGCTCGTGGCTGCCACAGCGGCGACGGCTCGCTGAAGCCTCCGCACCGCCTCCTTGATGAGGTTCCCCGAGAGCACCAGCTGCTGCAGGAGCCGGTGCGGGTCGTCGTCGCGGGCGCGCGTCCCGGCTGGGGGCCATCGTCGCTGTTGCAGGCGGCGGGAGGCAACGGCGCCCCGCAGCCAACCTCGCCGGCACGGCCCGGGCAGCGCGCTGGGGCCTGCGGCGAGCTCGGCCACGAAGTAGGGCGCAGCCCGGCCCCGCACGCGGCCGCGGTCCCCGAGGGCGCAGCGCAGGGCCCCCGGGGGCGCCGGGCCCACCGCCTCGGCCGGCGCCGGCGGCAGAAGCAGCGGCAGCGCGGGGGGCCGGGCCTTGTCCGCCCGCACGGCCGCCGGGGGCCGCGGGGGCTGCAGCGGCGGCCCCGGGGGCGCGCACGGGGAGGCCGGGCTGTCCTGCGCCGCGTCCAGCTGCAGCGTCTCGCCGATCTGGGCCACCAGCAGGTCCACCTCGCCCGAGCCGCCCAGCGTCACCGACTGCTCCAGCAGGAGGAAGCTGTCCTCCTCCTCCTCTGCCTCCCCCTCCGCTTCCTCGCCGGCTTCCTCTTCCTCCTCCCTCCGGCACGGCATGGCCCCCCGCCCGGGCACCCGGAGCTCTGCGGCCGGCGCTGGCGGCTCGGCGGCCGGCGGGGCTCGGTGGGCCGCGGCGGAGCCGGGCGCGGGGCGCGGGGCTGAGGCCGAAGCGGGGGCGGGGGCGGGGGCCCCGGGCGGACGCGGAAGCGAGAGCCCGCCAGGCACTCGCGCCGCGCGCCTGCAGCCGCGGGAGCCGGAATCCTACCGGCTCGGGTTGATTTGTAAACAATGGGTGACGTCGCCGCCGGGCCCTACCACCGCGCCGGGCCGGGGAGGGGGACGCGCGAGCAGGGGCCGGGTTATGGGTCGTCGCGGGCAGTGCAGGGCCGCGGCCGGAGCCTTCTGGCGTTTGCTCTCGGTACCTACCTAGGAGGGGATCCCGGGAGTGGGGAGAGCTGCGTACTTCCTCGGCCCGGTAAGCAGCACAAGAGAACGCCGACTCTGAGGTGGTCTGGGTTGGTTTCTCCCACTCGCGGACACACCCACCCACACACCCAGCCCCTCCTCCTCCGACGCTTCCTCGCTCCCCACGTGTCAGCAACGCTGGGGCCCTCCCCGCTCCTCCCCCGCGCGCCCGCAGTCACCCGGACCTGGCGTAGTGGGGGAGGGGCGGGCTCCGCGGGCGGTCCGGCTTCGGCGCGGTGGGGGCGGGGAAAGGAGGAGGAAATTGGGGAGCAGAGAGGACATTGCAAAGGAGGGCAGGTTCGTTACAGGGTCGGGTGTCTGAGACTTCCCCTCTGCGCGGTCCTCAAGTCCCCAGGGACCCTGGGAGGGAAGGACGCGCCACCGCAGGGCGAAAGAAGAGTTGATTTTGTTCATTGAAAAAAAGTTAAATAGAAATATAGGACGGTGGGGAAAAGAAAACTCTCATGATCATAGGACTCAAACATGTTCACATTTAGTTTTTTTTCCCTTTCCAGCTTTTCTCTAGCAAAGTGTATCATACAAACAACCACAGTGTTAACGCTTTTCCACTTACACCATAAATGTTCTTGTTATCGCATGCACTTTGAAAACCTATAATGATTACAGACGTTTCCATCAAGTTGCTGTTCCATAAATTATTTAACAATTCCTATAGCATTTGCTGTTTACCAAATTTCACCACTTTTAAGTGTGTGACTAATATTTCTTTTCGTAAAACTTTTTCCGTGTTCATGATTCTTTTCCTATGACCATATTCCCAGGAGTGGAATTTTAGGTCAAATGATACGGATATTTTAAGGTTTCTGATAAAGGTACCAAACTGCTTTCCAAGATCTGAGTACATTTATTCTCCCACCATTGTGTTGAGTGTTATAGTTAAACAAAAATTTTTTTTTCTGATTTCATAGGTGAGACTGACATCTCCTTTGTGTTTTCATACCTTTTGATTTTTAGTTAGGTAGAGCAGTTTTCTAAATGTTAACCAACTGTACTTCCTTTTTTGGTTAATTGTTTCCTAGTAAATTTTTCCTCTTGAGTTTTCTTATGTATTTGCGTGACTCCTCTATACACCAGAAGTTAAGTTAACCCTTTTCTTTCACATTTTGCTCTATTTCTTCAGGTTTTTGTTGGCCCTGTACAGTCATTTTTTTCCTCTACTAAAATTAACAAATTTTATGTAGCTAAATCTACAAAATCCCTTTCCTTGAGACTTTTTTTTTTTTTTTAAGATTTTATTTATTTATTTGAGAGAGAATGCGAGATAGAGAGCACGAGAGGTAAGAGGGTCAGAGGGAGAAGCAGACTCCCTGCCGAGCAGGGGGCCCGATGCGGGACTCGATCCCGGGACTCCAGGATCATGACCTGAGCCGAAGGCAGTCGCTCAACCAACTGAGCCACCCAGGCGCCCTTCCTTGAGACTTCTAACATAATGCTAAATTTAGAGTCTTGTCTCCAGAAAGTTATTAAATATTCAGTTCTTTTTTCCTTAGTTTTTTTTTTTTAAAGCCTTGTGGTTGTGCGTTTTTGTTTGTTTCAAATCCATCTGGGATTAATTTTGGTCTTTGGTGTAGGGAGACGATATGAATTTTTTTCCCCCCAGAGTTTGCTGGTCTGGGCTGTATGTCTTCATTAGAACAGAGGTGTGTGGGCAGTGTAAACCCAAGCTCTGTCCCCGTGAGCTCCTAGTTGCCGGTTAAGCTGATGGTTGTGAGGACAGGGTGGGGCTGGGAATATTTTGATTAGTCTGCTGTGTGGAGTCAAAAGAACCCTGAACAGGTTGTACGAAGATCTAGATTAAAGTCTCTCATTCCTGCCTCGTCCTGGGTGTGTAGCTCCTGGCAAATTAGTTTACAAGTGTTTTCACTTGTAAAATAGAAAAATAATCCCTGTCCTGCCTCCCTCTGAGGATTGTTTTCAGGATCAAATGAGATAATGGGAACAGGCTTTGTCAGGCATTACACAAATGTAATGTGGGATTACGTCCAATGATTTACTAACAGAGGCCTGGCTCAAGTCCAGCGATTCCCCCAGGGAAATGGCTAATATATTAATGATAAATGTTCCCCCTTGCAGCCCACTAAGTAAAATGGACCCTGAAGGCATTACTTCCTTCCATTTACCCTTGAATTCTGCCTCCTGTCTACCCTGACTTGTGCTTCTTCGAGGCCTTCTGAAGTCAGCCCAGAGGCTCCCAAGTCCGAGGTCTGTCACCACAGCTAGTTTTGCAGGTTTTGGTGACATATCCTTTCCCAACTGGCAGCCTTCCTCCTCCGTCTCCGTGGAGGGCTCTTCACACACTTACTGATGAGGATTGGAAGCCATTCCCCCCAGAGAGAGCAATTCTCATTTTCATTCTGATGGTACTTATGGAGAATTTCAATGGGAATAAAAATTAGGGGAGGGCTTAAGGATTTCACTGGAGTTAAATGGTAATTTTTTCCCCTCCTCTCTGTAAGATGATGCCTGCCTGTAAGTAGAGAAAAGCAGTTTTATGCTCCATTGACTTTAAACATTAATGGAGCTGGTGTAGCTATTGTCTTTAACCCAGCATCTCTGGGAGTCGGTTCTTCTTGTCAGGGTAATTCCCATAGTGTTCTTAGTACTATAGGAAATGGAGCTTTGAGATGACATTCTTTTAAAAATCTTCCCTTTGTAATGTTGCTTTTGTGTGAAGATTGCTATGTAAATATGCCAGGGCTTGGTTATTATACTCTTCATTATAGAGATGAATTCATTAGAGAAGACCAACTCCATTTTCTGTGGGCACTTCTCTGGGGAGCTCTGAGAAAAGGAAGTGCTGTGCTGGACCAGTGGGAGGCAGAGAAACGCCCTGGATTAGGAATCAAAATACAGGATGCTAGAGAGGCTCAGATGCAATTAAAAGTAATGAGAGGGCATCAAGAAAGGACGTGATGATTGCTGCGCGCTGGGCATGGTGGCTGCCTGCCTGGAGAGAGATGCACACGGAGGGTATTCAGAACACCCCATGGAAGGGTACAGAATTCAAGGGTTTTCTGCATTAGTCTACACTGCACTGAAATCTTCCCCAAGGATTTGCCTTCCACATGGACTTAGCTATCAGTTACTTGCACTCAGAGATACCAGCCAGGGTGCAGTGGGATGGACATTAGGCTTATAATCCCATCTGGATCCAGAAACTTCATCCTTCTGTGCCTCAGATTCTGAATGTGTAAAATGGGGGATGATCCCTTCTTTACAAAAATCTTATATGGCATGAGAACATGTATGGAAAGGCTAAGCACATGGGCCCTAAGGGGTGACATTGGAGTTAGGCTCTGGGGGGTAGAAATAATCTTAGTGATGTTCAAATTAAAAATAAGGCAAATTCTAAAAAAAAAAAAAAGGCAAATTCTGTGGGCCATCAGCAGACAATGGATAGACAAATTGTGGCATATCCATACAGTGGAATATTACTCAGCCATGAAAAGGAATGAAAGGCTGATATGCTGCGTTATGCAAAGTCAAAGAAGCCAGGCACAGAAGGTCAAGTATGGTCCAGCTCTATGGAACATCCAGAATAGGTAATTCATAGAGCCAGAAAGCAGACTGGTGGTTGCTTAGGTCTGGGGGGGTGGGAATGTGAGGGGGTACATAGAGATGGCTGCTAATGGGTACACTGTTTTCTTTTGGGAAGCTGAAGGTGTTTTGGAACTTGATAGAGATGGTAGTAACACAACACTGTGGGTGTACTAAATGTCACTGAATTGTACGCTTGTGCTCTCTCTCTCTAAAATAGATAAATCTTTTAAAAAAATTTTCCTTGGACAAAACTAAGTTCCGATAACAGAATAGCGATTGCCAAGGGTTAAAGGGAGGGGGTTGGAGGGAGGCTGAGGGGAGCTCAGGAGAATTTTGGAGGGTGATGGAATCATTCAGTATCCTGATTGTGATGATGGTTACATACATCTATATATAGATCTTAAAATTCAGAACTGTACATTGAAACAACAAAAGAAACTGTGAACACACATGCACCTCGTGGTGGTTGCATGGGGGTACATGTTAGTCAAAACTCAATGAACACTTAAGATGGATGAATTAATCATATGTAAATTATTCCTCAATAAGGTTGATTTTTATATTATTTATTTATTAGCACAAATAGGGGGACAGGCAGAGAGAGAAACCCCGCTGAGCATGGAGCCCAACATGGGACTTGACGTGGAGCTTGATCCCAGGACCCTGAGATCATGACCCGAGCTGAAGTCAGACGCTTAACTGACTGAGCCTTACAGGTGCCCCAAAAAGGTTGATTTTTTAAAAAATTTGCCTTGGAACATGAAGGCCATAGGCCCTATGAATTTTCTGTCAACCACATCGTATGGGTAAGTAGGAACCATGACAAATGGGCTGCTGGCCATGAGCCAGCCTGGGTCTCGTGGGGAGAGAGAAATGGGCAGGTTTGCCACGGCCTGTGGCTCACTTTGGGAGGCTGTAACCCTACCCATTCCATCACCTGACACACTGAAGAACATCTAGTGTCCCAGGTACAGTGCCTATTTCTAAGGCCACATAGCAACAAACACTGGAGGCAGTCCTTACAAAGCTTAACAGTGTGTGGTGGTCAAAATAACGGCCCTCCAAGATGTCTATGGTCTAATCCCTGGGGGCCCTGTGAATATGTTACCTTACATGGCCAAGGGGACTCTGCACATGTGATTAAGTCAAAGATCTTGAGATGGGGAATTTATCCCAGATTGTCCAGATAGGCCCCATGTAATCACAAAGGTCCTTATAAGAGGGAGGA